GGCAGGGGTCCAAGGTAGGGGTGATCCCCTACATTGGACCTCAGTTTCTGTCTCCGAAGCCTCCGCAACAACAACGGGCAAGGGATTAATTATTAGGTCCTATACGTCAGCAGTCATACACTGGTAGTATGGTATTGGAAAGGGTATGCTAAGGGAAATAAAAGGGCATTGTGTATACCACGAAATCTTTTATTAAGTATAAAATGGAACTTAGCCATCACAGATAAAGAAGGATACGCGACAGTTTCAAAAGGCTTCTGAATAACAGTGCTCTTTCCATTTATAAAGTTATCTTAACCATGTATGGTATAGGAAGATTCAATATCAAAAATGATCTTTCAAAAGTTATCACAGAAATCTGATTCAGGAAACTCTCGAGATCTAAGCGTTATTATGTATCCAGTGATGACAAAGGTCACAGTGATGTATCCTGTGCCAGATTTGGCTTATCATATGTACTTTTAGTATAATAAGCAGTATAAACATTCCAATTACTGTATGTAAAATTTAGAAGTAGGAATCCAACATCAAACAGAGGAATAAAAAAATAAGGCAACTTTAGGATACGCTATAAAATCTGATCTTGATATGTTAAATTACTGTTAATTTACCAAGAGTTCACTAATTTTCCTTCAGCAAAAATCCAAAACATTCACTGAATTTTCAAATGAATTACTACAAATTTTTAGCCAACTCATCCATAAACTGGACTGGATAGAGTTGTATTGGACTCGTATCTGGAATAAAAGCCACATAAGCCGAAGACATATGTAAAAGACACTGTTAAGATAATTAACCAAAACAGCAGCTTGGTCCACATTCCAAACTGCTTTACATTTCAAGGCTAAAACATAGGTTTTTCTTCATCATCCCTACCAATGTATTTGGGCATTTCATTTGTACATTCATTGCCAAGGTAAGCTTTACATACCCATGAAAATGTGGTCTGTAAAAGCCTAAATGCATTATGTTAAACTGTTGATACCTATGAATCTTAATTAAAAAAAAAAAAAAATCTCAAAAAAGAACTCCCCTCACAAATTAGTCTGAAATCTATTACATGGTCACACAGGACAACAATAATGCTAACATTTTTGTCTTAGTTTTTTTTTTTTTTTTGTTTTTTTAACTACACATGCACATTCAATATGAATTGTCTGATAAGCTAATAACCAAAAATGGTGCAATACTCAACTATGACATTAAGCTCTGCAATATTAACAGCCCAACCTTTAAAAAGAAAAAGCTCTATGAAAAGTCAATATCAATATTGCTCCTAATTTCAAGGAAACCTTCGAAAATGAAGACTCTCACTCTTACTGGTACTTAATGATGATAATGTGTAATATCAATTTAAAGTCTTGTCTATTACAAGGTCCTATCATGTTTTTTTGTTTTATTTAATGTAATGTAATATGTTATATTAATTTCATAACCCACAGTAACCTTATCAAATATACTCACTTTCAAATAATTACCTATTGTGAGTCTGGAGATACCTCAGTAAATCTACAATGAAGTTTAAAAAAAGACAAGCAGTTATTGAGGATAAAAATGATAATTATCACAAGCACAAATTGCACATCAATCGCTGCACAAATTACGAATTGAGAAGAGAAATAATGCTTAAAAAAAAAGCGATTTATTTTCAATTTCAAAAATCCTTCATTACAACTGTTTACCATTCAGAAACAGGTATGGTAATTACAGCAATCTTACAAACTGAATTTTGCTAAAGGAGAAAAAGAAGCAAAGGATTTTAGCTTCTTGCACAGTTAACGTTTCTGAAATAGTCACAACATAAATATGGAATGTCTGAAATTAGCTGCTCGTATTGCAAATAATCATTTCTTTCAAATATAAGTAGTGAAGATGTATGATAGATGATAATTGTTCACATGGAAAAAGTAGAAATAACAAAACATAAAATTACATATACACATAAAAAAATATGCTTCATCCATCATGCTGTCCTTTTTCTAGTGGTAGATCAAATAATATAATATAATCATTATCATGGTTCTAAGTTCTGAGAGATTCATCTAATTTCATTTCTTTTGAAATATACAGATAGAAAGATATTTCTAAATAATCATAAATTACTATTAAATAATCTGCTGTATATCATAAGCTGCCAGCTTAAGCTAAAACACATTTGTCAATGGTGATCTTCAACTATCTCTTAAAAAAAGGTCACTTATGTTCATATAATACACAGATTGTCCCTTTTAGATTACTGGATTATTAATGAGTAATATAAATCACTAACATAAATTGCCACATTTTCCAGGTCTTGTATCTTGGGGAAAAAAAGTAAATAAATGCTCAAAAAAAGATCATTCAGAGAATGTAAATAACATCTGAGAGGAATAAAGAGAAGAGAGAAAGAACAAGAGAAAAGAAAAACAAAAAAGAAAACAAAAGACATTTAAAGGTAATATTAACATTTACTACGCATTTGAATTAAACAGAAGATCATAACTAATGATGAAAATATATA